AGAAAAAAAAAAAAACTCTCAAAAAAAAAAAGTGTTTGCCTTAGGGCGTGTGTGCTCACCAGACTGACAGTGAGGAGGAAAGTGAGAAATCATCCCCCAGAGGGGATGGCCACACCGCAATCTATTCTCCTCCCAGGATCTTGGTCATGCACACACATGCGCTTGGTGTGATTTTCAAGCCACCAGGTATGGGACTTGAACCATAGTCAGGCATGAGGGAATCCGGCGACATAACCTCTATGCCATCTGCTGGCCTCTGAAGAGCAAATTTAATTATGGCACAACCACATGAAAGACTACTACCGACCTCCAACTTAAAATGGGTGCACTTGGAATTTTTCAGCCTTAGCAATGCAGAAGTGAGACATTCAGCAGAAAGCACACTTCTGCACTGTGAAGACCCACACAAACCATTCTGTTCACTTGCAGTACTCAATGCCTTACATAAGACATTCAATACTTTTTTTTAAGAACTATTTTCCTTAATTTATTAACTTATTTTTAATTTGACCAAAAAGGAACAAAGAGAGAGAGAAAGCCAGCCGCCAAGTCCGGGACTCAAATCGCGGTCGCCCTGTGGGAGTCCAGAACCCTTAACCACCATACCACTCGCCAGCCTCAAGACATTTGAAACTTTATTATAAAATAGGCTTTGTGGGCACCAGCAGTTAGCGTAATGGCTATGTCACTGGACTCCACGTAGTTGACCGCAGTTCAAGTCCCGGACCCGGTGGCTTAAACTCACGCCGGGCACGTGTGTATGTGTGCCCAAGATCCCGAGAGGAGAATGGAGGAGAAGGGATTGCGGCGTGGCCATACCGCCTGGGGGGTGATTTCTCGCTTTCTGTCTCTCTATCTCCGTCTGTCTGGTGAGCGCACACGCCCTATAACAAAAACCTCTCCAAAAAAAGAAAAAAAAATAGGCTTTGTGTAAGATGATTTTGCCCAACTGTAGGCTAATGTAAGTGTTCTGAGTACATTTAAGATAGGCTAAGCTAAGCCTGGATTAAATAAGTAGGTTAGGTATATTAAATGCATTTTGACTTAACGATATTTTCAACTTACAACAGGTTTATCAGGCCATAACCCCAACATAAGTCAAAGAGCAGCTGCACCATTTTTAATGAGATTTCTTTTTTCCAGAGTATGCATGTACTCACCAGACAGGGAGAAAGCACATCCCCAATGAGATGTGGTCATGATGCAATCCCTTTTTCTCTTCTCCATCCCTTCGGGATTTGGGGCACACATACATGCACGTGGACACACACGGACACATACATACACACACACACACACACACACACACACAGTATGTTTTTTCAAGCTACTGGGACTATAATTTGTATGGCAGTCAGCCATGTGAGGTTCAGCTCCTTTAACCACTATGCTATGGAAGGGGCCCTGATGAGATTGCTATAATAAGCACAATCCGAATAAAAAGCATGATCCAAATCAGTGTATATATGATCTCACCACTGTCAACGTTATTTGTTAAAGAATTATTTTATTTAACTGTATTTGTTATTATTATTTTTTAATTTGATCACAGAGAGACAGAGACAGAGAAAGTGAGTAAGCAAGCCACCAGGTCCAGGACTTGAACCGTAGTAGGCCACGTGGGAGTCTAGTGCCTCTAACCGCCATGCTACCTGCTGGCCCCACTGTCAACATTTTAATGGTGAGGTCAGCAGAGAAAATATCATGGAAATGCAGAGCAAAGGATTTGTGACAACTACCTATAGGACCTACCCAGAGACTTCTACTTTCTAAGCTCAATTTCTAAATTTTCAGAAATAATCAGGCACTGTTTTTATAACCAGAAAAACAAGATTTAAAAATGTGGTTGGGGGGCGGGGAGCAGGTAGCGTGATGGTTAAGGGGCTGTACTTCCACATAGCTGACTGCTGTTCAACTCTCCAACCTAGCAGCTTGAAAATCATGCCAGGCTCATGTATATACAAGCCCGAAATCCCGAGAGGAAAATGGAGAAGGAATTGCAGTGTGATTATCCCCCGGGGGAAAATTTCTCACTTTCTCTTTCTCCAGCGAGTGCATGCGCCCTTTAACAAACTGGGAAAAAAAAAAGTTTGTTTCTACTGTGACCTGCGTCAAGAAACCCCATCATCCAAAGAATCACCTTGGCCTATGGTCAAGAAGAGAAAGGGGTGGGGGACCAGCAGTTAGCGTAATGGCTATGTCACTGGACTCCTACGTAGTCGACCTTGGTTCGAGTCTCGGACCCGGTGGCTTAAAAATTTACGCCGGGCGCATGAGTGTGCATGCCCAAGATCCCGAGAGGAGAATGGGGGAGAAGGGATTGTGGTGTGGCAACCCCCCGGAGGGTGATTTCTCTCTTTCTATCCCTCTGTCTCTGTCTCTCTAGCAAGTGCACAACAAAAACCCTCCCAAAAAAAAAAAAACAAAAAAAAAAAAAAAGGAAGAGAAAGGGGTGGGAGATGCTGAATAGAAGAGACTTCAAAAGGTTCAAGGAAAATGGAACAGGGTCCAGCCAGATGGAACAGTCTGCGGTGCATGCACTGCAGTGTTGGGAGCCACAGGCAAATCTCAGGTCCCAATCCCAGGGTATGCACACATCGGTACCCAGGATCCTAAGGTCTAAGGAACTAAAAGGCTGGCGAAAGAGGATCATGATGTGGAGACTCTATCAAGGGTCCTCCTCTCTCTGTCTCATACACATAGTACACATCATCATTTAAAAAAAGGGGGGGAGAGTGGGTCAAGCAGGTGGCATGGTTTGGTTAAGGTACTGGATTTACACATGGCCAACCATAGTTCAAGTCCCAGACCTGGCAGTTTGCTTTCTCATTTTCCCTTTCTGTCTCTCTCAAAATTAAGTAATTCTAAAAAAAGAAGAGGTAAAATATGAGTTTATCGCTTATCTAAACTCATATTTAAACTATATGTTTATTTTTTCACACACACACACACACAAAAAAAAACCCTCAAATCCATGATTCACGAACTCTGTGAAGATTCCAGCCCATCCCAAGTAGAACCTGGCCCTTCCCACCTCAAGTTTCAGCCTAGGTGGGTGGTCCCAAGTCCACTCGCCCAGTCACATTTGATCTAGGTCCCTTAGTGAAAGGGAGGAGCTGGCCAGGGCTATGCCAACCATCTTCCACTAGTGTTTGCTGTTAACCAGAACTTCTCTATGTAGAAGGGTCGGTAGACCTCCCTAGATCATGCTTCTTAACATCTGGGTAGGAAGCAGCCAGTCATCACAGCCATAAGTCTCTCAAGAATCTCCAAGCCATTCCCCAATCCAAAAAAACACTTTGTCAACTACTGCATTCTACAAAGGATCTCTGGCCCACTAAGATGCACTAAGAAACAAAGACATCAAGAGTGTCTGGTATGAGGAAGGGGCAAGGCACTGAGGAAGTAAACCCCCAGCATGGTCCCTCCCTTCTCCAATTCTTGTCCTCACCCCAAACCCTCAAGCAAAACCATACAGGCTCAGTTCAAAAACTCTGGGACCTCACTTTTCAAGGTCAGCCCTGGGAATGGCACACATATTCCCACCCCTTCTGGCTAAGAGGCCACTTGGGGAGAGAATCCAGGCTGGAAAGAACTGCCCTGCTAAATGTTTCAGAACAGCGAAGTGTGTGGGCAGCTGGCCCCTGCCCTATGTGGCTGGCAACCAGTAAGCCACACCTGGTCTATGCAGAGGCAATCCTGTCTTAACAGATCCCACCAGGTCCAAGACAGGAGGAAGAAGAAGGGCCCAATGTTGCAGTGTGTGTGTTGCGGGGGTGGGGCAGGGAACTGCACATTTCTGAGCCATGGGCCCTCATCTTTGCCATGACTCTGCAAGGTGGGGACTCCAGGTGAGAGCAGCCCTTCATGTCTGAGTAGCATCGCAGCTCAGATAGGACCATGGGCCACTCACTGCAGAGCCATGGCAACAGCCATAGCCAATAGAGAGCTTTGAGTCTACATGCGTCCAGACAGCTATGCCACCACCTCGTTGCCAACATTTGCCTTCCACCTTAAAGATACCTGGTCCCAGCCCCATCCTGAGCTGGCACTCAGAGCAGTCTACCTACCAAGCCCTGCTGAAGAGCACCTCAATGCCGGTATTTATACAACAGAGCTATAGGCCTCAGAGAGACCCGAAGTCTAGCCCAGATCCAGAATCCAGGATTCATCCTCATCCTGTGTCTGGAAGCACAGGTTGGGGGTGAATCACATGCAAGACTTCCCTCCCAGCTAGGCTCAGTGTCCACTTGGTTGCTCAGTCCTGTTAGAGGTCCTGTTTTACACATAAATTTAGGTCATTCATAAGCAGCACTACTAAATCACGGTCATGAAATGACCTGAGGAGGGACCAGCAGTTAGTGTAATGGCTATGTCGCTGGACCCCCATGTAATTGACCGTGGCTCGAATCCCAGACCTGGTGGCTTAAACTCACACAGGGCACATGTGCATGCATGCCCAAGATCCCGAGAGGAGAATGGGAGAAGGGACTGCGGCATGGCCATCACCCTGGGGGGTCTCGCTTTCTGTCTCTCTGTCTCTGTCTTTCTGGTGAGTGCATGCGCCCTATAACAAAAACCTCTCAAAAAATAAAAAAAGAAAAGACCCGAGGAGCTGCCTCGGAAACATGAAGTGGCCATTACCAGGTTGTGCAGAGCTACTTGGTATGAGCCCGTATCCACTGACAGAGGTGCCTGACAAGGGGTATGGAGCCCCACCTAGTGACCAGCTGTATCTTGCTCCTGGACCAAAGAAGCCCCTCCCCAAGAGAAGTCAGAGGGTATCCAGGTTATCTCTGAGAAGCCAAAGTTGCATGCTGCATGTGGCAAGAGGCACAGGGCTCTGCAGCAGTGGCACTGTACCAGAACTAGGCCAAGGAGCAGATTCAGCGCCAGCTCACTCACCGATGACCAGCAGCACCAGGATGACGATGAGAACCACAAAGAAGGTGTTGCCATAGGTCACTACCAACTCCACCAGGCGGGACTTGAAAATCTTCTGCCACCTGTCAAGGTGAAAGGGTAGGGGCTGAAAAGGAAGAACCCACACTCTGGACCTGGGTCCTGAGCAGATGGAATTCAACTTTGTACTCTTCTTTCCAGGCCAAGGGGCCTAGACAGTCAGCCTCAACCACCTGTAATCCCTCCATCTGTAACATCCATTCCAGAGGGTTTAAATTAGATGCCCATGTATAGAAATCTCTAGAAAACCAATCTTAAATGCTGGCAGTCTCTGGGAAGGAGAACTTACTTGCCATTGTGCCCCCCTCTGTAGCACTCAAGATGTCTGCCATCTGAACATGATAATTTTTTTTTTGAGAGGTTTTTCGCTATAGGGTGCGTGCGCTCACCAGACAGACAGAGAGAGACATAGAGACAGAAAGCGAGAAATCACCCCCCAGGGGGGATGGTCATGTCGCAATCTCTTCTCCTCCATTCTCCTCTCGGGATCTTAGGCACGCACGCACATGCGCCCGGCATGAGTTTGAAGCCACCGGGTCCGGGACGCGAACCGCAGTCGACTACATGGGAGTCCAGCGACATAGCCATTATGCTAACTGCTGGTTCCCTGAACATGATAATTCTGTAGTTTGTCTTTGCACACAAGAAATCATGATTCTCTTTACCCTAGGTTATAATGAAACAAACCAGCAGGTGGCATAGTAGTTAAGGTGCTGGACTCCCACACAGCTCACGGCAGTTCGAGTCCAATACGTGGCAGCCTGAAAAATCTTGCCAAGTGCATGTACACGCATGCCCAAAATCTCAGGACAGTGAAGAAGGGACTGCAGCATGGCCTTTCCCCAAGGAGATGGGTGATTTGTTACTTTCCCTCTGTCTATCTGGTGAACGCACATGCCCTCTGACAAAAACCGAAAAAGAAAAAAGAAAAGAAAAACAAGCCAGTGTGTGCGTGCACCCAAAATTCCAAGAGGAGAATGGAGAAAGGACTGCAGCATGGCCAGTCCCCCTGGGGATGCTCACTTGCCCGCTTGTGCTCTCTCTAGCAAGCAAAAATCTCTCAGGAAAAAAAAAAAAAAAAAAAAAAAAGGGTCCATTTCTTGCATTTCTTTTTTAACTGTTGGTTTATTTAAATCAGGACCCAACAAGGTGCTGACCTGACATTAAGTTGCTAAGTGTCTTATATCTTCCTTAATCTATAAATGCTCCCTTCCTTCTCTGTTTTTCTCTTCTTTTCCCATTTACTTTGTGCAGAAACCAGACTGTTCTATAAAGCTTCTCAAATTGCAGCTCCAAAGGTTGTTCTCTCTCTGAATTCCCCCTGAACTATGTGCAGGTTTGGCTCTTGGCAAGAACATTCTGTAGGCGGTGCTGTGAACATCCTACAGCATCATACTGAGGGTCTGTATCTGTAATCACCAACTTTTAAAAAATATAGGCCAGCAGGTAGTGTGCTGGTTAAGGCACTGGATTCCTACATGGCTGACTGAGGTTCAAGTCCCAGATCTGGGACTTCTCACTTTCTCTCTTTGGTCAAATTTTAAAATAATAGGACCAGCGGAGCCAGCAGGTGGCATGGGGGTTAAAGCGCTAGACAGTCCTACATGGAAGACCATGGTTCGAGTCCCAGACCTGGTGGCTTTCTCTCTCTCTCTCTCTCTCTCTCTCTGTGTGTGTGTGTGTGTGTGTGTGTTTCTCTGGTCAAATTAAAATAAATGAATGAGTAAGTTTTAAAAATACTTTTAAAAAGTAATAGGACTAGGAAATGGCACAATGGTTAAGTTGCTGGACTCCCAAGTAGTCGACTGCAGTTTGAGTCCTAGACCCCAGTGGCTTAAAACTCAGGCCAGGCACATGTGCATACATGCCCAAGATCCTAAAGAGGAGAATGGAGAAGAGGAGATTGCAGGGTGGCCATTCCCCTAGGGGGTGATTTCTCACTTTCTCTCTGTTGAGCGCACATGCCCTATAACAAAAATTTCTTAAAAAAAAAAATAATAATAATAAAAAAATAACAAAATTAAATAATTACTTAAAAAATATATTGGCCAAAATTTCACTTTATTCAAAACACTGTACTTTAAACAGGGACATGTTCATATACTACTCATAATTCCCATTAGCTGTTAACAGATGTTCTATTCGTTAAAAGGGAACATGGCTTCATCCCTCTCAGGCTGACTAATGCTCATGAACTACTACGCAATGCCAGTGAGACTAGTTAGGAGGTCAGAAGTCACCAAATTGGTAACGTGACCCAGTAGCTTATGTCTTCCACAACCGACACTGCCATCCCCTGCATTCTAAGGACCCAAGAGCAGACAGGGAGCATCATTTCTAGAACCATACAGAGAGAAAGACCAGAAGGTAGTGTGCATGAGAAAGAACCTCACCAAGTTTTGACAAAGCAGAGCAGTGTGGAAGACTGGTGATAATAAAGACAGGCCCTGCTACCCCACCCCAGACAGGTTCTACCTGTTTCCATCTGGCCCCAACTCCAGGGTCCACCATGCCTGCACACAGGAGCTACAGGATAGGCAAAAGGAGCCATGCTGCCTGCTTGCTCCACAGACCATACCTTTTGGGAGAAATGAAGGGGATGCAGAGGAGCAGCACAGCAAAAACCTCAGCATAGAGGAAGGTGGCAACTGCAGTCCACTGCAGACTCATCCTGTTGCTAGAAGGTTCCCGGGAGGGAGATGTGAGCCTGTAGTTCCTGGCAGGGCACAGAAAGAACAGGAATGGTGGTGAGACTGGGCTGCCACTGACATCCGGCTGAGGTGCCCAGAGAGGCGGGAGCTACCGGGCTTCACCATACTCCAGCTGTGTTAGCACTGGCTGGACAGGGACTCTGCTTACCTCTGCACAGCCAAGTCCCGACCACTGTCATTTGCTGGGAGTTACCTGCCACTCTCCAGCACATGCGTTAACATGTCCAGAGCCACCTTTCTTGGGGCTCCTTGCCCTGGTGAGTCTAAGAGACTCAAGCGTGTTTAAGTAGGTAAGCGCTTTTCCTAAGCAACGGTCCACGGGCAGAGAGAAATCCCGACACGGCAGACCTGCTTTCTCCCCCGGTAGCTGCGCCGCAGAGGCCAGCCTTTTCTCAGATCCCTGCTTCCGGGCAGCCCTAGGACGCAAGGCTCGGCTTCCCCAAAAGCTGCAGGTCCCCGCGCCCCCGCGTAAATCAGGAGGCCCTTCCCTGGCCAGCCCTGCCTACACGGGGCCCAAGAAAAACCCGCAGCCTCCTACTGGGGATGCGGTGGGGGCTAAAGGGAAGAGCCTCTGATGGCCGCTCCTGCTCCAATGGGTGCCTGGAAAAGGTTCAGAAGAGCGACTCCTACAGGGCAGGAGTCCGGGTGAAGAGCAAAAGCAGGTCTCAACAGAGCGCCTCAAACACCATCCACAGAAAGTTCTAGAAGCAGTAGTCCCCTCAGAAGCCGGAAAAGCCCTCCCGCAGCCCTGGCAGGGCCACAGTATTGCCCAGCCGAAAGTTGCCCGGCTCCCGGGCCCCGGGCCGGGCCCTGGCCCCGCACA